TGGAAGAACGTGCAGAAATTCTAGTAGTTTCGGCGGCGAATGCCGGCAACCACGGGAACTGATGATCCCGACTTGTTCTTTTGATTCGAAGATGGCGTTCGTGGCTGTTTACCACGTCGCGCGTGCTTCCATCGTGGGGCACGTTCGGAAATATGAGTTTTTACTTCTCTTGCACGTGGTTGGTGGGCGAATCTCTTTGATTCTCAGTTGTGACCATTGCACCCATTGGATGTCCGATTGAGAAAATCCTGCTAAACGATGGCATCATGAGAAAGAATAGATCACGCATTGCTCATTTAGTTAGTCTTCCCACGCATTTTTATTTGATTTGGGCCTGATGAATTTTAACCATTTGGTCATGAGGTACCAGAAGTTGTAAGTGTTGATGTTTTCAATTTGCCTTAGGTCGTTGAGACGTATCAAATTGTGAATGAAATTAATGACATTGTTTGATGGTTCTGGATTTTTGGGTTTCCTTTGTATTTTCTTCTTGAACATTTCATTCTTGTCTTCGGTAACTGATCTAGTGTTCTGCATATTGCTTCCCTTGAATTTTACCGGATATGCGCGTAAATTAAATACTTCGCTCAAGAGAAATAAATTATCAAAAACCGGTGCTGATGAAAACATTTCCGAGGAACAGAAATTGAAGGGGGATTGACACATGGCGCGCTGTTTTCATAATGCAGGTTCATACCGTGTTCTTTTTGAATAGTTTCCGTTAACACAAACCCCCCCCAATACCGACCGGGTCGTTTGAATTCGAGCGCGCCTTTCCCGCCATCTTGTATTCCGTTGCCGGCTCTGGTCGCATTCATACGCTCCTCCAAACGTCCGTTGCGCGTTGCCGAGGCTCCATCTTAAATCTCAGTTCTGTTCCATCCGGTCGTGGTTTTTAGTTCTTCGTGCAATTTTGTGGTACCTCATTGACTGACACTTTTAATAAATATTTCCATGAATTTTTTATTACGTGGGTGACTTCGGAATATTTAAAGCACTTCGTCGAACCGGCATAAGGTTCTGGGAAATTTCTGTCGATATAGAAGGGATTCGCGATTTTAATGGAGCGAACGTGCACATTATTCCGAGTCCGAATTTTTTCCCGCTTCTGGAAAACTGTTTTCGAGGCAGCGTATCTTCGCACCTTATTTTGTGGATAAGCGCGTCGGCGATGAATTGTTCGAGACTAACGTCCCTGTTCATTCCAGGAATTTGAATCAATTCGGTCGCTTGTGACTTCAGTTTTTGTGAATCTTCCGCAAAGCGTCATGTCTGACACCGAGGTGCAAGAATCTCCCAAGAAGCGCGGCCGCAAGCCTGCTGCACCCAAGGCGGAGAAGGTGAGTTATCTCGTGTCTTTTTTACGAATCGTCTGGAACCACAGGCTTTATCATCTCGCGAATTTCAGCCTGCAAAGAAACGTCCAGCGGACGACTCCGAAGAGGAGCACAAGGAGGATTCTCCTGAACCGGACGCACCGAAGGCGAAGCGAGGACGTGGGCGCCCGAAGGGAGCTGGTGGCGGTTCCACCAAGAAGAAGGTGAGATTATTTCTAACTTACCGAAAAGTAGATCTACATTTGTAAACCTACTGTTGTCAATTCAATTCGTGAGTGATTGAGAGAAATCGCCGTGTTTGAAAGTTGATCTGCTCCTGATCGACATGCCCGCAAGTTGTATAAGCTAGAATCTTCGTAAAACTAAGTGATAAAAACTTATTTTTTCACAATATTAAATACGTGATCGTTCCTCGCATTGAAATGTGAAATTCGATCGACGTAATGTGTGCATTTTTCAACGATGGATTTCTGATCTTGTTTAGCCGAAGGCGGCTGGTGGATCTGGACGCGGTCGTGGACGCCCGAAGAAGAACGCTTCGTAAACCGTCGGTTTGTTTATAATTTTTTTTTTTCAATATACAACTTGTACAAGTCTCCAAAGCATAGACGAGAACGCCGCCTGTCATCCTAAATTCCCCATCCCTTCCATTTTCTCGCACGGTCGTGGACAAGACAAACTTTTTCCCTAGTGGTTAAGTTTTGTTGCGTTTCCCCGCCCCCGATGATCTCGCGTTATTGGCTCTTAACTTCACGGTCGAGTGTGCGGGTTTATTTTTCCTTCTTGAAGAGAAGAAAAGTACAAGGGTTTTTCTTCCTGTGTTTAGCTCCGAACTGAAGAAGCCACCGACGGTTTTGTCGCGGGTTGCGTTTTGTGTGTAAAATGGCGGGTGTCGTGAGTGTTTGTTGGTTTTTTTTCGTATTAGATAAAAGTAGTTGGTTGACAACAAAAGTTTTCCCCGTCTTGGCCCCCGAATTTTTTGTACGGCTCTTGAACGAGTGAGACGAAGAAAACTTTTTATCTTGTGTCGTCGCAGTGTTTTTACGTTGAATAAAACTTCTCTCCATGTACTCGAAGAGAATGTTTTCTGATCATTATCTCAATCTACGTCAACATTCGTTCTTCGAAAGTAAGTTACAGTAATGTTTCTGAAACTGATTTTTCCTACGGTTTTTTTGGGTCGAGGTTTAACTTTAGATGGTTTCGGAACCGGTATCTCTTGTGGGTGTAATCTTGTATTGACAACTCGAATATGCTCCTCCTAATTTTGTCTTGGATAGCCTGCCAACGAGATACAAGTCTGTGTGAAAGGTCTCCCATTGAAATGAACTAAAAAGTCATAACCTCAATTAAAGGTGACGTAATTTATGTCTCTGGAACGTTAGCTAGGTGTAATTTAAGCATTTCAAGGTTATTTTGACCGATTTCTTGAATAATGAGAATTTGACTTCACCCAATTCTCATTTTATTTTAGCCTCTTGATTTATGATTACCAAACCCTGTTATGCAGGTGGTACCTAGTAATTTGACCCTTATTCATTGCCAAACTTTTGTTGAATTGTGATAGACTGCATCAAATTAAAAAATTCAAGGACAAAAATGCTAAAAAAAATTGGAAAAAGCAGGTTGAATTGTGGGGCATGGGTCAAACTGCAACTTACCACCTGTACTGCTTATCACCTTCAACCTTATGAAGGTTTGCGCCGAACCTTCATATAAGCCACCACCATTTGTTTGTGGCAATATTAATGGGATATACTGCCATCATTAATATTGCTTTCAACATAGTGGATTTTAGGTCTCTGTCTATATGATGAATACTATGGCTTCTGCTGCATGATGTAAATTCATGTTGTAATGAAGCTATGAATCCTACTTGTTCCAAATGTTTTGTAGTCACAAGATGCTGGTACATGTTTTTGCAGTGCTTTATTTTTGTTTAGATTACAATATTTCCCCCAGTATATGAATTTAGAGCATAGGGTTTGTTTATGACAGATTTAGTTTTTTTTTCTGTGCAAAAAAGAAACTGTCATGGAAAAAATTCATTATGACTTGGGTTCATATGTTGGTGCACTTGTGTACTGTTGAACTTTGATAACTTATTGTTGGCTAATTCTTTATTGACACAGGTTAGGGGGAAAAGCAATAATAACTTAATTCAATATGCTTTGAAAGGAATATGTAAAAGACTAATATTGGGAAAACATGAACCCTTGCCTCCAAAAATTCAGCCTTTAGTCAGCTCATCTGCTGTGCAGTTCAAGGCCAGAAAATGTATTCCTGTACTTTTTTTTCACCATTCCCAGGATTGAAACCTAAAAATTTGATTGATGCATAGATGAATAGAAGAAAGGCCAGATTGTATTTTAAATGAGGGCGGAAATTGGACCAAATAAAAAAGGACAAGACCCACAGAGCAGCAGACATGAGACAGGAAGTTGAGTTTACATATTCATCGATTGCCTGATCCAAGTGATACAACACACACACACACACACACACAAATACATCATGCGCAAGGACTTTATGAAAAAGACTCGGAAAAATAAACAGGAGTTAAACGCATAATTGAATCTGTAAATTCACGGGCCCGCATAATAACATATACTTCCCATCCCTTTTTTTCAATACCATTCATGTCTATTAAGCCACATACACAGGAAGTGCTGGGTTTCCAGCATAGCATGACTGCTGTGCAAGTTTAGTGAGTCTTATCTTCTGAGCATGTGCAGCAGCAGCAGTCTCATAGCTGTGCACTGCTTGTGCTATATGAGGGCCAAGATACAGACCCTGGCTTTGTCAGTTCCTCTCTGAACCTGGCCCAATCCACACCCACAGCATACAGTACATATTTTTGCATCAATCCATGCAGCACCAAATGTATATGTCTTACTATATATTATATAATCACATTTTATGAAATTGTGCAGCATATATTTTGCACAGTTTATAAATTTAGTGTTACACCCCTTGATTGCCAAATCCAACCTTCCTTGTTCAAAGTGTTCCATTTGATTCCTCATGGGTCAATTTAAGCTCAAGTCTAATGAAATTAAAAACACTATAACTGAAAATTTTTGGGTCAAATCTCTGTCAGTCAACATTTCAAGGTAATTAAATTATTGAACTTGAATTTTTTTTAAAGATCATCTGTTCCAGAAAAAACAAACAGGTATGTTTTCCACAAGGAAATATAAATCTTTTTTTCAATATTGTGGCCAGGTGAGGATATTTTCAAAATCTCACAAAAGTCATAATTTGTATAAAGGAGTCCCTTATTCAAATTCAACTTGAACAGGTTGACATTTTTATTTTTGGGGGGCTTTTTTTTAGATTTAGTGCTGGGGTTTATTGAAGGTTTCATCCATGATGGTGTTGCATTATGTCATTTTTAACATTGTGATGCTGTGATTGTCCAAAGTGTTCTTTCATGTATTGAGTTTAATGATTGGATAAATAACTATTTGTAAACTGTTTTCTATACATTCTTGTCAGATGTGCACAATTTACTGCTGAGTGCCAATAAATGTGGGACAAATATTTTCAGTGAGTTATTCCCACATTTGGAAACGGTTATTCTTTTCTAATAAAAATGGACAAGTTTTCTGACCTTGGCCACTTTGTTATGGTGAAAGTGAATATGGTATTGACTCATCATCTGAGTGTATTTTGAATGCTGAAGAAAAAGTGCAAAATCTTGAAAGAATACATCATTGATGTAAAAGACAACAATCCTCTCCCCATGCATGCATGGCCTACAGAAATAATACTGAAATAGTATTTTGTGGGAAATTAAAATTTCAGATTTATTATTATACTGTGTATTGTATCTTTCATTATGTGTAAAGGTTAACAGAATCATAAGAAGAGAGGAGAATAAAGAAAAATGGCAGAGGAAACCACCTTCAGCAGCAGCATCATCATCAACAGTTTCTCATCATCTGACATCACCCTCAGCATGAATAACTTGAGCCTCAGCAGTGCACCATCGTGGTGGAGTAGTAGTGACCACGATCTACTACTACTACTACTACAGGTTCACATACTTCACGTGGTAATGGGTCACTTGAAACACTAGGGGTACTGGGACAAGTACCGACACCAGTACCCGTTTGCCTTTGTGGGCAACTCCATGACCCTGCTGACCATTTGGAGACACAGAGGCATGAGGACCAGGACCAACATGTTTGTGGCCAACCTGGCAGTGGCTGACATCCTGGTGGCAGTCTTTGACAAAGGGGACCGGTACCAGTGGGACCAGTTCCCGTGAACCCAGAAACCGGGTGACCGGACGAGGAAGTTACCGAAGTGACACCCCCACCCCGAGTACGACAGGTAGGTATGGGAGTACACCTAGTCCATTTGCATATATCTTCTTATTGATGTTTGATCATTTTTATACAGTACAGTATATATACTCCTGTAACACACAAAATATAAAAATAAAAATAAACTAACCAATTGCTTGAAAAGTTTCCAGAAAAAATTACAAAAACCAAAATAACATGCTTATAGTAGCGTGAACATGTTTACAGCAATTTATGTCAAGAATATTCTCTGTGTTCAAATTATGCTGTAAAATATCAAAATTTTTATACAATACCTGATTGATGTATAATACTTTTTGAGTGGGTGAAATCTTGCCATCACAAATAATTATCTTTCGGTACTGTTCAATTCAACCTTAATCTGTTGCCAAACTAGGGTCAAATTGCAAGACACTGTGAAATTCAAAAATAGCAGTACAGATAATGCAAAAAAGTGACCAAAGCAGGTCAAATTGCAGGGCAAGGGTCAAATTGCAAATCAACCTCAATATCCCTGCAAATTTGACTGTCAATAAATTGTGGAACAGTTGAATTGCCGAAGGTCAAATTGTGAGGTACCACCTGTATTATAATGTGATTACTACTAAACAATTTAAGATTTCTTTCCTGATGATAACAAGGTTATTCATTTCTTAAAATTCCAGCTTGGTTACAGGCCATGTAAAAATATAAAATTCAAAATAACAAAATTTTCATTATAGGATAATGAATCAACTCTTCAAGATCCTTAAGAAAAATTTAAAAAAAGTTTCCATGAGTTCAAAATAATCTCTATATAATTGTTTGCACAAATGGCACACTATATTAATTTTGAGGAATGATCCAGAATTTCTATATTTTAACAGAGAATAAAAATTTGGAGCACAATTCTGATGATTGTGAGAAAAACCCTTGAAAACAAGCAATTCATTTGTTGCAGTAGTTTATCTTCATAGAGTTATTTAATTAAATACTGTAGTTTTTATTACTGATGGGGGACCTATGAATAATTTTGTTAAAAGATAGCATTTGTTGTATAATAATGTGTCCTATACTATACCTATATGCAAAAGTGTATTGAAAAGGAATGTAAATAACTGGTTTATTTGGCATCAATAAAAATAAGGTGCTTATATGCATTATTTTATGCCAACCCAATATGTAAAAAAAAAAGTCTTTTTTTCACTGGCCAAAACAAGCAATTGTTTAATTTCAACTGATATCTACAAGAACAATCATGGACTTGCTTGGTGATGGTTGGCACATTTTCCAGCAGGATTTTTCCAGAATAAGACATTGAACTATATACCAGGAATATATACCAAGGACTGCTGCTGCTAGGGATGTTATTTCTCATCCCCCCTCCCCTTCTTTTACTGCACTCACCTTGATTGCATATAGGCACAAAGTAAATAACCTGGAAAATGGTGGACCACACCTGCTGGTCCATTTCCATCAGCACACATGCCTATAAACTTCACCTGGTTGCTGGAAGCTTGCATATATATACAGTATATTAGAAGAAAAGCCATTATTGCACAAAGGCCATCCAGACTTTTCCCAACTCCCCCCAAGAGTATAAACACAATTTGTGTCACCAACTTCTTATTTAGGAACTGCTGCTGAAAGTATAAACTTTTGATATTATCCCAATGCACAGAAGAAAAAAAAATGTTTTTGCAAGTCATTTGCATGCCAAAGTTTCCAACACCTTATTCCTTTTCTTTTTTCCATATTATGTATATAAAGAAAGGAATAACAAAGCATACAA